AACCCCCCCCCCCCCCCCCCTCCCAGGAACATCTCATCTTCACCATTCTGTACGTGTATCCTGCAGTCGCTGCCTTCCATGGGAAACCCAGACTGTCAACCCTGATGGCCCCCGTAAAGGGGAACCAGCTTCTTGCTTTCGCATTTCTAGGCGTCTTAGACTGATCATCATCCAAATGTATCGCCTAAAGGATCAAATTCCACTTTCCTGTCAAGGCATTCTTCTCGAGTGAAGTACTTCTTGAGCTTTTGGCAGCAGGCAACGGTTTGCCAGATTTGCAGGGCTGCCACCTGGACTGCTGTTGACTTTTTTTTTTCCCATCTGATGCCAGAAATGGGGAAAAGGTCCTTCAGGCAGCTCCAACTTCTGTTGTGTGGGCTCATTAGTGTTCTGTTGTTGCCCACAACCCACAGTTGGGATGCTTTTGGATTTCCCAACAGTCTCTGAATCCTTTGTCCCTCAAACCATGGGGGGGAAAAAAAAATAAGATTTTGGTATTTACTGCAAAATATTTTTCTTGAAGTCCATTGAGGGACACAAGAATGTAGTAATCCTTAGATATTTGTGTTACACTGCTGCCTGCAGGTTTGGACAAAAGAAATAAATGCTAAAAGTTCCCGTATAACCCTGCCTCCAACCATCATGCCTCAGTTTTGAGAGCAAACTGTACATAAGTTAAAAAAAAATCTTATTTTGTTCATCATCTATTGAGAGGCCATGGAGTGTAGTAATTCTTTATAATTTGGGATGTCTAAAAGCAGTCCAACTGATGGGTAGGCCATAGTCATGGAGAGATCAGATGTGGAATCTTACTAAAAAAAAAAAGGAGTACATGAAAGAATCAACACCTAAAGACTAGATGAAAAAGAACACCAAGGATTAACCGGGTAACCAGACCAGGACAGGTAATTACCACGAAGGTGAAAATACTACCTGAAAGAATGATGGGCCTCAACTAACAATTATGAACAATTAAATCAGGACAACTAAATACCCACCTTAAATAAAAAGGTGGAACAAAATTTCCTGAACAGGATAAAAGAACTTGGACCAGGAGCAAAGGTGGTCAACAAAAGAAAGAGAAGTTTTGACAAACAAGGAATGTCCAAACAAAACAAAAAAACAACCGGTAAGCAGACAGAGGCTTAGGTAGAAAACCCTTGACTGCAGGCAGAAGGAGATCCAATATGAAGAATGTTACCCAATAGAATGAATAGAGCAGCAATCTTGATAGAGCAAAGTAAGCCCTTATAGTGTATATCCTATTTTGCAGCCAAATTGGGATAACACCTACTTTATATGTTACATGTTCTCAATCACAAAGCATAAACTAAAAATAATTTTAAAAAGTGCTTCTTGCAGTGTAAATTGCTTTTACTTGGGTTATCTTAAGGGTTACAATTTCTACTTGCATCTACTTCTTTTGTAATGTTAAAAGGGGTTGTGTTGGTATGTTAATGATAGGATTGTGTTTCTAAAATGTCAGTCCTAAGTCTTTCTATAAGGACATATAACTGTGAGGGTGCTAAAAACAATGTAATCAGCCATGTTGCCTGCTATAACAAAACATGTAAAAAAAAGGTAAGATTTTTCTTTTGCTATACTGTGTGATTAGATAAACATAACATATAGAGGCATTTTCTCAAATTTGACTGCAAAAGTGGAAAACAAATTTTAAATTGGATCAGAGAAGAGTAGTATTCTAATTCCCTTAAACAAAAGGGTGGTGGGAGGTAATTGGATTGTAACACAAATTGCCATACAGGGGCATCAAAATGAGATGGAGTTCTTCCATTTCACTGAAGGCAGGCAGGGGAGCGAGACCAGGTGCTTCAAAGCGAGTTGCTTCCTTCGGGCTGAATGGCGTGAGAAACACGTGCGCAACACTCCACCTGGCGGATTAAGTCAGCTCCCCGTTCCCTCAGCTTTAACCATTACTACTGTAAAATTGTGAATAGATGAAATAGCTCCCCATGGTTTAGCGTGGCTGGTCTTACTCAATATTTGAGTCTTCAAAGACTGGATGCCACCAGAGGCTGTGCTACAGCTCTGGACCTGGACAGAGCACTGCAGCTAACACAGTACACAGAATTCTGCAGTGGCACTATGCAGAACCTAGTACCCGAAGGTCATGTTCTAGGTTAGCCTTTGCTACTGCCAGAGACCTACTTACTGCACGAGTTTGCAGAGACAAGGTCACACCAGAAGCTGTGCCTCTGGACCTGAAGAGCGCTCTATGGTCAACGCATAACACAGAGGTCTAGAGAGTGCCACAATGCAAAGCCCAGTGCTGACCGTCCAAGTTAACCCCACAATTTCTGTGTAGAGGTGAGCTCAAATCAGCATAATTTAGAAGACTTGATTGAATGCCCTTTAGAAATAAAAAATTAAAAAGAGTGCATCTTGCTTCGAAAAAAAATAAAATAAAAAGCAAAAAAGGAAGACATCCAACCACTTTTGACACTAGGAAAAAACTGAAGAATGATGGCTGAGGCGGGGTTAAATAGGGGTTGGCTTAGCTTTGTCAGTGTCCAAACCTCCTGATGGCTGCAGTATAACCCAAAATACTAAAAAGAAAAAAAACTACATTCCCGTGTCCTTCAATGAAGGATAAACAAAATTGGATTTTTGTACTTGCCGTGAAACCCATTTCAAGGAATTACGGGAACCTCATTTCCTCCCCCCACACCCCATCTATGATCTTGTCCCTGGACATGCTGAAAGCAGGGGCAGTTATAATCAGGCTGGTCACCGTTTGATTGCCAGTGCCCAAATTGGTGGCAGTATAGCCCAACAGTCTCTGAATCCCGTGTCCCTCAATGAACTCCAGGAAATGGATTTTATGGGAAGTCCAAAAACCCAACTTTTGGTGACAGGCTTCTTGTTCATGCAGCAACATGAAAGTGGCTTTTGAAACTTACTAGTATACCCCCCACCAGTATAACTCAGATCATGGAAAAATGTAATCTAAACTGCAAAATTCTCAAAAATATGAAAACCACCCATAGGATATTATGGGATTATATTGTATGACAAATTAATCTTTCCTTGCATTTTACAGTGTGCATTGAGAGTGAATTTGTAAAAACACAATCTGGTGATGTACATAACTTCTAGATCTTTACTTTACTATAACTTTACTAAATGAAAATTTGCATATCCACGTTATGAGGAACAATATGATTATATAAAATGTGAAACGGCAACCTTAATTGTGTTAACACTGTGATGACATGCAGATTTTAATGAAGGATCTACAAATCCATTCCCTACATCATAAGAAATGGGTAGGTTTATGTAAAAGATGGCTTTTAGACAGGGCTTGGAAAGGCTCTCTAGCAGAAATGATCAACAAAAAAAAGAAAATGGACATTACTCATATACCCCTGACACTGCAAGTTACAAAATGACCAACAGATATGAACTACATACTTCCAGTGATCTTTGCAGAAGTAGATATGAGCCCTAAAGAAAAGGAAAAAAAAAAAAAAAAGTCATAACATCCATTCCTTTAATAATACTTACCAAATCTTGAGAACTGGGGTTACCTTTTCAACCCATAGCTCTCTTTAGGGTCACGGGAGGACATATACTTACATCCTCCCGTGAACCAAAGCGCAGTGTATAGCAAGCTATATACTGATAGCATTGTTGAGATCCACCCAGCTGGCTGATTGACAGAGGGCTCTGCCTATCTGAAGGTAGAACCAGCTGTACCCGCCCCCTCCCGCTCCTCCAGTCAGCGGTCTCTGCAAGGATAGTTCTCCTTTAAACACTATTGCTAGGGATGCACCGATACCGGTTTTTCGGTATAAAGTACGGATATTTTGCTGTCAGCACTCGCTGATTACGGATACCAGTGCTTCCGCTGGCATGGAGCCGGTTTTCTGATTTCCCGGGAAGTTTTCCGGCCAATCAGCATGGAGCCGGCTTCCCGGGCAAATCAAGAAGTCGAGTGGCGGCTCATTACTCGCAGCCCGGCTTCCTGATTGGCTGGGAAGCCGATTTTCTGGCCAATCAGCATGGAGCCGACTTCCCAGGAAATCAGGAAACTTCCAGTGATTGCGCGGGAAGCCGGCTCTATGTTCCCCTACGGCAATCCCGGTCAGAGGAAATCTTCCTCTGACCGGAAGTTCCGGTATCAGGGCATTTGGGCGAGTAAGGTTACTGGCCCAAATACTCGGTATTGGCACCGATACTAGTATCGGTGCATTGCTAATCATTACCATAACAGGAGTTCATTATATGCATCCCGAAAACTTTGTAAAAATCACCTACCTGTCCATACTGCAAACAGATCCCTGGGTAGGCCTCTTTTCAGTGATAAAATCTGAAAACTTTATTTTATAAAAATACACAAATGCTGCAGACATGTTTAGGCAACTTTGTTGCAGCAACAACGTTGCTTGCTTGCTTACCCCTGTGCATCTCCACTGATTGTTTCTTTGATTGTTGTGTCGCTATGACTCTCTGACTAGTAGTTTGCCCTATAGAAGACAATTATACCCATTTGATGCAGTTGTAAAGTAAAAATCCTCAGAATTGAGGTATAAAGTTATAATTAAAAGGACAATTGCTGAACAAGATGACCTACTGTCCACTCATCACTATTCCTTTTCAGGAAAATACATCTACGCCCACAGGACAATGGGAGAAACAATACAGAAACATTTATATGAATTACAGATCTCATGTATAGTAGTGTCAGAAATCAAAACAGTCACGGTCGACAGTGACCAAACATGTTCTTTCCACACACATTTATGCAGAGACCCACAGTACTTTAGCAGCCATCAGACTGTTAGGTGCATTAAAAAAAGGGAAATAAACTAGATTAACAACATATGGGGAGAGGTTGAGAAAAAGTTTAAGTTCTATATAGGTAAGGCTTTAAAAACGGAGGAGTGCACCAAATTAAACTCACAGTTTCACCAAAGAATGGGAACAGAGCAGTGTAAAGAAAGCAGAAAGGTTTAAGGTGACTGGTTGAAAAACAAGAAAAGGTTATATTCATAATTAAATTTTACACATACATTAGCTATACACCTACATAATAGAGTCCGTATTAAACAAAGCGGCAGCTCATGATGCTCACCTGCATTAATCTGGGTCTTTTTCCAGTTTCCATGTCCCATATTGGTTTTGTTCAGAGGACGCTCTCCGTGCTTAACCAGTCTGTTGGCAATGGTGGCTGCATTGGACAGCTTGGTCGTAGTGGGGAACGTATGCAGGACGCCTCGTGTGGTCCCCGACAATCCACGGGATATTGGTGTAGGGCTCTTTAACAGGTGGGAGTAAAAAGAAGTACATCACTCAATGTAATGCAAACCAAGTATTGTAATTACCTACTATCACCTGATAGAGGTCTATTAATAAATACTCTACCCATTGTACAACATCTATGCAAGTGCATCGTTTTCTTACTTGTTTCAGAGTATGATGCTGCACAGAATGTTCTGTCTTGATCTGTGCAGGGGAAGAGCTCTGCTGTAGTATCCTTTGCTCGATCTCCTGCTCCTGTTGCAGAGCTTTAACAAAGGCAGCTTTCAGTCGGTTGGTATGCTCAGCTTTCAGTGACTTCTTTTGGTTAGAGGTCATGCACACATCACACATGATGGTCCCATTCTTCTCATGCCTCCAGCGGCTGGTGAAGTCAGTCTTGCATTGGGCACAACTATAAGGCTCATGAGAAGGGGGTTGCGAAACAGTCTTACCTGCATAAAGAAAAGATGCTTTAGAAAACCTTGATGAATTACTTTCTCCACAGTTGCATTGACATTTTTTTGACAGACTGATCAAGTAAAACTCTTGCCTCAAACCTCTACTTTACATCTATTTATACACAGTTACTACTCACCTTCATTACCATTTTCTCTACTGTATATGGATCATGACCTTCCTACTTATAACAAAGTCTAAGCAGAAGGGACTCCATACATTAACGTACACAGAACCTGAAACCCAACTCCATCCAGCCAAAAGTTATTTAATAAAAAGGTTCTAAATCCTTCACACACTATTCACATATACCATTTATAAATAAGAGGGGGGGGGGGACCCTCCAACACACAGGGTTTTTGTTTTACCTATAAAAATAAATATGTTGGAGTATACCACAGGAAGCAGGGAGATACATTATTTTACTAATGCGTTATGCAGCTAGTTTCAGGTGATTGGACACTGGCAAATCAAAGCTATTAGGACGGCCCTGCATTAAACTTCCCACTACCAGCCTGCCTCAGTTTTGTTGAAAGCAGTCCCAAGGGTAGTTTACAGAAAGAGGGGAGGGTCCTGTGATGTACTCCAAAGAACTTGACTACATTCATGTACCACCAGTCTCCTGGCCCTGTTGGAAGCAACGAGAATCATTACAATGCCCTCCATGTCGATCCTGCAAAGAAGAGGAGGCAAGAGTTTCAGAGGTGTGTAGATCAAGCTGAACTGATCCCACAGTCACCAAAGCATCTCCCCTCTCCTGAGGGTGGTTGCGCAGGTGCAGAAGCGGCTCCTAGGTGGCTAAGAAGAAAAAATTAAGCCAATCTTAAAGAGTCAGCTGTCCCTGCTTAATGCTACGATACAAGAGCCTCAGCAATGCCCCATATTAACCCCTCAAGCACTGGAGCAGATGGACTGGGTACCTGGCGGGGGCGAAATCCACCCCGGGGATACTTTCTACCTTACATCTGGGGGCAGGTAGGTTGGTGCAGTAGCCATTTAAAAGGCACATGCCTGATTCAATGTTCACCCTAACAGTGAACAGACACGCTAAAAGCAGCCCTCAGGGAGAGAGCTTCACCGGCAAATGGACCATGCCTCTGGACCTGTAGAGCACCCGGCAGCTACTCCACACTCTGCCCTGTGCCAAAGTGAGTGCCCCTAGCAGGAACCAGTGGCCGAACCGACCCACTACATCATCAAGGCAATGGCTGTCTGTCAGATCAGGAAAGGACGAGAAATCATCTCTATGGGTACACATTAAAAATATGACAGAAAAATCTCCTAGATGGAATACAAATCTTAAAAACACACATTTAAAATTGGCTTGCGCTGTGCTTTAACATTCAATCACCCCCTGTTCCAGCAGAAAGTAAAAACCTGTGATATAACAGACTCTAAGCCCTCCAGCTTTCCAAAACTAAATTATGTTTTGACTGTAGTTTGGCTTTGAACCTTCAAGTGTGCAAAACCACTGTTTAAACACAAAACAGACTGTATAACTATAATTGAAATGCTTTCCATTCAATAAGCTGCAGTTTGGTACTAGAAATCCATCTAAACAAAGCAAATTGTACCTCTAGTGTGCGACAAGTTCCCATAAGATCAATACTATAGTGTTAGGATGGACAAATGCTTCTTTATATTGTGCAACCCATGTAGTCACACTCACCTTGTGACTCCAGAAGATTCTGCACTACTTCCTCAAGTCCCACCAGATAGATAAACTCATTATTGGCTGCACTTGGTAGGAAATTGAGCTCTGGGGCAGGTGGTTTGGGTGGGGGAATCTCCAACAAGGTCTTCTCCAACTGCTTTCGTAAGGCAAGTTTGGCAGCTGCTTGCCGGCTAGCAGGGGAGTCGTTTGCATTGGCGGATGACAAAAGGTTGGTAGCACCACCAGCTGAACCTTTTAAAGTAGTTGGGGATGCCTGAAAGAGAAAAAAAAAAGGTTCACAAAACAATTACAGGGTCAAGATGCACTGAAACATGAAAAACCTAACCATATTCTTCAAATTAGGGGTTCTTAGCTGAGGCTATATTGGTACCTACAGTAATAGCACTGGTGTTGATTTCAGTAGTCTGGTGAAACTGCAGCTACACAAAGGTTAAAAGGAGAACTAATGGGTTAGGGCTTTTCCCCATACTTCTCCTAAGGGTAACGGGAGGACACAAACTAGCGTCCTCCCGTCACCCTAAGCTCAGTATACTGAGACGCCGCAGCTGAAACCGATCCCGACATTACTGTCTGGATCCACCCAGCTGCGTGAGTGACAGCTGGCTCTGCCTATCTAGAGGCAGAGCCAGCTGTACCCGCCCCCTCCCCCGTCCGTTCCGCCAGTCAGCGCTGGAGGGTCGGAGCGGGGAGGGGGGAATCCAGCCACTCCCCTATCACGGCAGAGAGCCGTGACACGATCGAGAAGTGAGCGAACGCCGATATGTGTTCGCTCACTACCTGATCTACTGAGCCGACCTGTGACAGTTTCATTGTCACAGGTTGGGTAGAACTATGAGGTGAGTGAAAAGCACTCACCTCATAGTTCTCCTTTAAGAACACCTGCATTAAACAAATTTACACATTGAAGTCCTTCAAATCAATGACTGCTTTAATGCCAATTTTCCACTGATACCACTGATGATGGTGGTGATTGAAGATTTCAGACTAGCAAGGTTGTCAGTGATAGCCAGAGCACAGGTTTACAATTATTAGCATAATATCTTTACCATCATGGGTTATAATAGCAGGGCTCAAAATTTCCACTCGAAAATTGCGAGTGAAAATTGCGTGGGGGCGAGTGGAAATGAAGCTATTGAGTCTGGCACTGTCATGGACAGAAGCAGCTGCTCGTCCACCCATAGATTGAATCCTGTAGCTCCTCAGAGCGCAGAGCTGACTAGAGGAAGCGCCCTGGCTGCTTGCATTGCACATGCTCAGTGCAAGTTTTCTTTCCCAGAGAGTGTCAGCGTCAGAGTTCCTTGGGCAACCCGGCCGACGGTGGCTCTGAAACCCGATCTTTCTGCTGATCTATATGGTTTGGACACACAAATGTATTGATTAATATGAGCAAATGTGTTTGTGTAATGTAATGCTGCGGGTGTGCCCCGCGGGTAATGCTGCTGGTATGCCCCGCGGGTAATGCTGCTGGTATGCCCCGCGGGTAATGCTGCTGGTATGCCCCGCGGGTAATGCTGCTGGTATGCCCCGCGGGTAATGCTGCTGGTATGCCCCGCGGGTAATGCTGCTGGTATGCCCCGCGGGTAATGCTGCTGGTATGCCCCGCGGGTAATGCTGCGGGTGTGCCCCGCGGGTAATGCTGCTGGTATGCCCCGCGGGTAATGCTGCTGGTGTGCCCCGCGTGTAATGCTGCTGGTATGCCCTGCGTGTAATGCCCTGCGTGTTGTGCTGTGCGTATGTGTAATGCGCTGCATGTTGTGCTGTGCGTATGTGTAATGCACTGCATGTTGTGCTGTGCGTGTTTGTGCTATGCCCGGTATTGGTCCAGCAAGAGAATGATTCGTTTGTTCCCAGGTACACTCGGTACATCTGTGCACAAGAAGGATAAGATGGAGTGGGGTCAGGCAGGGCAACTGGTGGCGAGTAACTTTTAAGGCCTGGCTAGTAGCTCAGGACCTGAAATTTTGAGCCCTGATAATAGTACTACACCTTTGTATCGATCATATGTTTTTAAACATTGGTGTTACACAAATTGCAAGAAAGGGCTCTGCTGAATACTAAAGATAAACAAATAAGGGTTAGATCTCAGATAAGCATTCCATGACTAACATACTGCACACTAGTTTCAGGGCAGTCCCATACTGAATACATTTGTCTTCATTTATCTGGAAATTGTGTGCATTACAAATCAGTGAATAGCGGATTCTAATGACAGCTATTTCACTTTGTGACAGAATCCCTTTAATTGCCACACATTCAATGTGGAGTCCAGGCACCTATGTAATGTAAACCATTTGCCTGGCTTGCAGCATTGAAGCTAAAATTAAAGTGGAACTTTAAGTAGAATTTAAAAAAGAGCAGGCTTTTATTGCAGAACATACCATGGGGTCAATTCACAAAGCCCAGCGTTATGAGAGTAGAAGTTAATTTATCTATCCTTATTTTACCACTCTTGCAATTCACAAAAGTTGGAATCGTGAATGCATACGCAGTTTAACGCTCCTTAAGCAAGTGTTATTTTAACATCAGACTTTATTTGATCAATTACTGTGATAAAATAACGTTTTGGGTGTTATTTTAACACTTTTGCAGTGCATTTTGGTAGCAGAAGGGGTGGAGCAGACGCCTAAATGACTGTTACTTTCACTTTCACCACACAAAAGGATTCCACATATAAAGGAAGGAATATATTCCATATTCGCCACATGCATACTATTTTAAATTTGGTAGAGAAGAAATCATATAGAAATAACAATAACATTTTTTCTGAACGGAATGAATATATGAAACATTACATTTATTTAGATCTACATCTGATGACAATCAGACAGTGTAGGGAGGGCAAGCTATTCCCCTTACCACCTATAAAGCCTGTCTTGATATTAAAATTGTTGCATGGAACAATCCGCTCGCTCTACAACCCCACTGAAGGGTGTCCAGGGACATTTGATTTTTCGTGTCATGTGAGATTTGCCACTAACCTCTAACTGTAACAAAATCATCTACATTTGTAGAAGGATAAAAGCTGTAGAAATGACAAATACCACCTTCTTCTTCTTCTGTACTCAAAAGCATTTAGCAATGTGAAATTGAAGAAAAAAAAGTTTCTATTTCTATCTAACTCATGTCATCTCAGTGCAAAATGCATCAGATAACGCCTGAAATCTGTCATAACACCACCCTGAAGGAGGTGATAAATTATGTCTAAATAACGAGTGATAAAAGGACCTTTTCCTTTTGTGAATTGCATTTCAAGCATATTTTATCACTCCAGTTGTTAAAATAACGTCTGCATAGTTAATTTACCACTTCTTAAAAATAAGAAGCGTTATTGAGTTTTGTGAATTGACTACCTTTACACAGCAACTATATAACAAGCGATATCAATGAAATAACGGCCAAAATGAAGAAAATAAGCTTTGTGAATTGACCCCCATGTCTCTTCTGTAAAAGAAGGATTTTTACCCACCTTTGTCTGTTCTCATGGACAATGTACACCGAGCTGCACGTATGTAGCTCTGTGTACAATTTTGGCATATGCTGGCATAAACAACTGCACATGTGCAGGAGTAGCACCATCCCGGCATAGAAACTCAAATTAGCTGAAGAAACTGATCGCGGATGAAGAACAGGCAAAGAGGTTGGTGCCGAAAAGGGAGCTTGCAAACCTTGGCGAGTTGCGAGTACTAATAGATACATGTAGCTACAGAAGCTTTTAAGTGAGCACTAGGCTCACATTGCAGTAGTGAGAACAACATTTACGATTATAGATTTAGTATAATCTCAACTCCAGACCATTTTGTTTTCTGGGAAGAGCCAATAGTTCTATTGTTTGTTTTTTTTATTGTCATCTGTCACCCCATTGCACCTCACTTCCTTTCCCTTAGAAAGACTGACAGCAGGACTCAAAATTGGGGAAGTAGTCATCACTGGTGGGACAGAATGGTTGTAATAACCCAGTGGCGCTTCTCTTTTTTGAAGTGTCTCTACACTGGAGCAATTTCTCAAAACATCCTGGCAGGAATTGAGGGGAAATCCTGATTTTTCAGTAGGGTTGTTCATTAAGATTGCACTGTGCCCAATATCTTACAAATAGACATGACCCCATTCTAAAATGGTGGATAGTACATAACCGATACAGAATGAGCAAGAGTCCATTTAGGGGATTACAGCAGCAAGAGTTTAACAAAACAAATTCCAACATTAAGAGTCATTAATGATAAATAATGTTCTTTCAATGCAGCTCCATGAAATGAAAATAAGGATTTCTTTCAAACTCAATACCAACCTGTGGTATGTTCACTAGTAAGCTTGTGTTTGCCACATTGGCCACCCGTATCAGACCCTGCTGGATGATCCTTTGACCTTGCATCTGCACACTGGGCACTGAAGCACGAGGAGCTAGCAGTAACGGAGGTGGGCCTGTGCTTGGATGTTGCCTGATGTTGTGTATCTGCTGAGGAGAGACAGAAATGGGCTGATGGTGGGAGGGAGGGAACAAAAGGAGGTGATGGGTGAGGTGATTGAGAATAAAGGAGATAAGCTGTGAAAGGAAAACTAGTATTTTCAGAAAGACAAATATATTACTACTGGTCTGTTAAAGAACCTTTTTTACACACACATGCAAGGATGGTCATGGTTCAACTTAATGGAAAACGTTCCTGTACACTGAAGATATCTACAACTTACAGTATATAACAAAAGCCATCCTCATATACTCAATATATCACCTTCCAAAGTACGGGGGCAGGGGGGATTCTCATTTCACACCAATGTAAAGCGATATCTTGTATTAGATTGGCCATTTTGTTTACAGGGTTAAGTGCATGATTAGGTCAGGATGGTAAGGTATACCTTGTCTAAAAGTGAAATAACCCAATTGAAACAGGTGAACTAGAGATCCTGGAGTAAGAGGAAGTAATGCACAGCCATGAAGGGGTTTGTCTCATGAACAGTGCTGTATTCTATTTAATCATACTCGTTGAGTTATCACCTGTGATTTAGACCTGTGTCGGTAGGTACATAACAAATGATCACCACAATCTGAACTGTGTTGGCATAGGCACAGTTTGGTCAGCACATGACATTTACTTTCCAAATTTTTTTAGTACGAAAGTTTAAAATGGTAAACAAAAATGCAATGGCACATTTCTGGAATGCAAACCCTGTTTAAAATAGAGAATCCCCTGTATATGAGGGGGGGGGCAGGTGATTGGTGGCGGTTTAGTTGAAAGTGCTAGAATCCCCGTCAGTTTTTCAAGCGAACCCGATCAGATGCCCAATGTTAAGACTATGGACAGCTGTGCGTAAATAGATGGGCGTCCGTTTACACGCGCTTACCCCCAACTCTGGCCAGGTCCGGAAAAACAAACTGATCAGAGATCCGTTTCATAAGACCTGTTAATGCTGGATTGGGGGTAATTGATGTAAACGGACACATGTCCGTTTACATCCGATTTCCCATAGACAGACGTGGGGTCCGGTATTTGCAGTTTTTCCTGGGTGGAGGAAAAAAAAACTTGATACTGACATCCGATCCGTAATGCTCTGATCAGAAGGGGATCCATGCACCCTCTCCCTCCTGATCAGCCCGTGTGAAAGGGGCACAAGTCTAACTGATAGAAGAACTACTGCCAGAAAAATAATTGAATTGCTTCATAAAGCCATGCCCTACACAACTGCCATTTTCAGTACTTTAATCCAATGTAGTTATGCTCCAGTTTCAGGGTCATTGTTTCTCTGGTTAATACCAAATGCAGTTTTAAATATGCTTACCTGTGCCCCTCTAACAAGAGGTGGCATGACTATCTGTGTTGATTGCTTAGACTGCGCCTGTTGCCCACCTCGTACCAGAGGAGGAGGTATAACTGTGCCAGAGATGCGTGATGTCACCTATGAGAGAGAAGACGAAGTGAACTTTCTTTACTTTGTGTGACAAATACTAATTTTATAGACTCAACAGAAAGAAAGCAAAGCTGCCAAAACTCAAACTATATAGAGATAAGAGAATCAGCAGATGTTTACCTTCTGTGGGGCAGTCTCCTTCTGGATCTGACTCTGACGGAGCTTTTTAAGTAGCACCAGTTTTGCTTCTTCTAACCGTAATTCTTCTTTTAGTTGCTTGATAATCCGTTCTCTTTCTTCAGGGCTGCTTTTCTGCAAAAGCTGCGGAGAAACAGCAGAAGAGCATGCAAGCTGAGACTCACATCAGAGAGACAAGGCAATACATATTTGAATAGGCTAAATCAACAAATGTTATCAAGTTTTATTAGAAAAACATTCATACATCCTATAACTAAAGTCATTAGGATGATTGAAGATGCAGTAAGAAACCAGGTGCATAAACAACAAAACAACAAACAAAAACAAAACAAAACCACACTGCAATGTGAAAATAGAGCAGCATGCCATTTGGAGAAAAAAAATGCTGCCTACTCACCAGAAAGGTTTCAGAGTGTGGCTCCTTTATTTGCCTAGATAAACCATTCATCCGTGGACTGGAAGGTTCGTTATCAGATAACACAATAACATCATCAGGGGAAGGTACGCTCTTTTCCCTCGTCATGTCACTAAACCAAGAAACACATTTGTTTAATATAGGCATTTAGTTTATAAACCTGTAATCTGCCCTGTACAATATCCTGGGTAAGGTTTGTTAAAAAGAATTACTACAAACTCATTTGTATTTGATTGGGATTAAAACATTCTTTCCATTGCCAGCATTTTTCTATTCGCTAAACACATGTTCACACTATACAGCATATACAACTTACGATTAGTGTCTGCGACCGCCTTTTCGTACGTTAATGGGAAGTATACAACCGCAATTAGTGTACAACCATTTGACTTTTGTCTTTCCAGCAGGCTAGAAAACTATCGAATCGTACGAAATTCGATGAATCAGTGATGTTTTCATATGTGAAAAAATGTTTTAAATACATAAATCATAACAAGAACACTGCTCATGCGCAAACAAAAATCAGTCCTGTCAATCGAAGAAATTCGGCAAGGTGATATTACTAACGAACGCTAATTGAAACCCACAATGGTCTGTGTATGATAGGGCAGTTGTACGGAAAATTGGACGATTCCATCGTCGTACGGAAATAATCGTGCGATAATCATAAGGTGTATGGGCACCTTTAGGGCTGGTAAACTGTAATATATTACATTTTTTATTTTTGGTGTAGCTATACTTCAAACTAACACATGGACAAGGAGCCATCATGTTCCTCAGGGGCAAACTACAAAAGGTAAAGAGCTAATATGTCTTCGGGTATTAAAATCATAGTACCAGAGTTCAGTTTTAAATCCTAGGTACGCAACCTGTGAGTTGAAACCCCAAATGTGGTCCCAAAATAAATGTTGATGGGTCAGCAAATTACTAGAAATTGATATGGTTGTACAGAGATGCCTTTTTTTGGAGGGGGAAGGAGAACCAAAACTTCTTACGTGCTTGTTCGTATACAATGATGCACGCAAAATATTTCAGATCTTGTACAGCTCATTGAAATAGACTAAAGTAGTAGATCAATGCGATTCACAAGCACAATTACTGTAGATCTGCTTTTCAAAAAGCTGCATATAAAATTTAAATAAATAAAAATTCTCGTGTAAATATTTCGCTGCAATCACTATATACTATGGGATTGCAGTAGAAACTTTGCACTGCATGAAATTCATGTTCACTGCATTATGTAAATAGGGCAAGCATATGCTCACTAGAATTATCTGTGCAAGCCACAACTTGCTTTTAACATTTGAATTTGATTGGATCTAAAAACAAGTGCATCACCTCATTCACTAATCTTAGTGAAATGTCTTCACTCCTTCAGTAAAATATTCCAAATGTACTGGATATTTCCTGCATAAAGGAGTGGAAAAACTATGCACTGTAACATGCTAAATAAAAAAGTCAATAGGTGCATAAAAGCTGGAAAAATAGCTGAATAAATCTGAACTAAAGACTGAGATCAGGCACTTTTACCCCATAGTAAAGACAGAAAAAGGGCAAGAAATATTCAATATTAACCACTAGGTGGCAGTCAGAGCACACAAACCGGTTCTCACTGAAAATACAAATATAACAAATCAAAACAAAAAGTAAAAAAACCTGTTGGTGAGTCTGCCTTGGAGTGATCCATTTTAATACATCCCTGCAGTGCTATGACATGTGCAATTACTGAAGAATAGAAAGCATGGGAGGGAGCAAGCCTGCACTGGACATGGCAAGAAGCATTGACATTTGCATATGATAATGTTTGGGGGTTACAGGGCTCCCCAAGAACTAGAGAGGGCTTTTTAATACATGTAAGTTTACTGCTATAGTGAAATTAGAAGGTTTTACGCCTGGTTCACACCTAGGATTCAGTCGCCCGGTAACACCAAAATACAAAAACCCATGCAAGTCAATGGCGACAGTTCACATCAAAGCATTGAGCAAAAAGATGCAGGAGATATTTTCAGGCAAATATCGCGCAATTTTGGTCTCAGACATCTCCACGCACAGTTTTAGAAAGCAAAATTATGCAAAAAAATATGTGTCACAAACGCACGAAAACAGCTCAACAACCACAATTCGCCTAGGTGTGAACCAGGCCTTAGAGGTCACACATGTACTTCAGAACCTGAAGGAGGTTAGAACTTTTTTTTCCCTACTCTCTCCTGTTTTTTTTTTGAAAAAAAAAAAAAAAAAAGCAGCATTTTACAGACACTGAGCCATATTGTATGCGACAGAAAAACCGTGATAGCAGATTATCACTTTGCATGTGGATAACTAAATTAAGGCCCAGTTCACACTCGGCGTTGCGGGAACACGCGTCACATTTCCGGTTTTGGCTGAGCAAAGGCAGCAAAGTAGCTCACGCAACATTTTCAGCTGCGAGCATCCCTT